CTCTGCTGTGGCCCGGGAGTGCAGTGGAGGATGGCCCAGGTGCTTGGGCCCTGCACCCCATGGGAGACCAGGAGGAGGCACCTGGCTCCTGGCTTCAGATCGGCGCAGCACCGGCTGTTGCGGTCATTTGGGGAGTGAACCAGTGGAAGGAAGACCTTTCTGTCTTTCTCTCACTGTCTATAACTCTACCTGTCAAATATATATATATACATATATATATACACATATATATATGTGTATATATATATATATATATAAAGAAAGAGTCCATAAATCCTTGCAAACAGCTGATTTTAAAAGGTTGGCTCAGGCTTTGTTTTTAAAATTTATTTATTTATTTGTTTTGAGAGGCAGAGTTATAGAGAGAGGGGGAGACAGAGAGATCTTACATCTGCTGGTTCACTCCCTAAATGACCAGGGCTCGGCCAGGCCAAAGCCAACAGCCTGGAATTCCATCCAGGTCTCCCACATGGGTGACAGGGGCTGACGTACTTGGGCCACCTTCTGTTGTTTTTCCAGGCATGTTAGCAGGGAGCTGGATTAGAAGGGGAGCCACTGGGACTTGAACCTGCACTCACATGGGACACCAGTGTTGCAGGCCGGGGCTTTAACCCGCTGCAGCCCAACACCAGCCCCAGCTCAGTTCTTCAAACTCTGCAGAGTTCAGAGTAGGTTGTCTGTGGCCTGGGGTTCACCAGTTTGCACCTTTGGGCTACATCAGCTGTTTCTCAGCCCTAGCTTAAAATCCAGATCCCTGGGTCCCATCCCAGAACTGAATCGGAATTTCAGGAAGACCCGGGAGTCTGAGCATGGACAGGTCCTGACTGTACTACTCCCTACCTGTGTGACTTCGCTCAAACTACTTAACCTCTGTGTGCCTCCATTTCCCAGCCTAGAAAGTGGGGTACTAGTAGTGGCTTCCCTCTGGGGTTGTGGTGAAAACTGAATTTCTGTGTGAAACTGTTCAGGACAGGGCCTGGCACATGGTGCATGCCGTGTTAGCCTCTGCGGGTTGTTTGTTGTTTTAGTGTTTGATAATTTCCAAATCTGGTCATCTCAGGTCTTTCTAGTTCTAAAAGTTCTACAGTTCTGTGGCTCTGTGTTTAATTCTAAGAGTTTGCTGTTGTGACATCATGGGACAGTGGGATTCTGGGGTGTGAGGGGACACAGCTCTGGGTCTATCATGGAAGCACTGTCGTTTGCTTGGGGCTTTCTGTTGCCAGGCAACGGAAAGATTCACTTCCACTGAATCTTCCTAATCGTCATCCAGGTGAGCTGTGCTTATGCACGGAGCGGTTGAGAACATTTGCCTAACGCCACACAGTTGCCGAATAGCAAACTAGGATTTGGACCTCGCTCCGTTGAGAAAACAGCAGTCCCCAGGCCAGAGCCACCATTGAGTGGCTGCTTCCCACAGTGCAGGCCCCTGGTTTCTCCCAGAGTGCTTTGCCACACTGTGTGCATCAGGATTGACATGCCCACTTCACAAGGGTGGGAAAAGAGGCCTTGAGAAGTGAAGGGACTTCCCTGGGCTGTGTGCGAAACGTACTGCACCCCTAAGATTTGTGACAGGCTGAGGTGGCACCCCATACACATAATTCGCCCACTTAGTGTGCAGCTCAGTGGCTTTTACTGTGTTCAGAGTTGTGCATCCCTCACCACAACGGATGGAACAATTTCATCACATCCCCAGGAAATCAATCAGCTTAGCCATCACCACTCAACCACTCCCACGAACTAACCCCCGCCCTGGCCCTGCGTCACCGTTCGTCTGCTATCTATAGATTTGCCTATTCTGGACATCCGCGTAAATGGAATTAGAGTATGTGGATAACCGTCGCTATGATGGAATTCCACAAGATCTCCATCATCCCCCAAAGAAACCCCACACCTGTAGGATAACCCCCAGTCCTTCCTCCCACCTCCTAGCAACCACTGGTTCACTCTTTGTCTCTGTGGATCTCTGCACGTTCATGGACGTGGAATTGTATGTGGCCTTCTGTGGCCCCAGCTGCGTGTTCTCCAGGCTCATTCGTGTTGATGCATGTGTGATGTCAGGGCTTTGTTCGTTTCAGGGTGTTGCCAAAAGATGCTCCTTTGTTATGGATATGCCACACTTTTATTTATTCCATGAAACTTTTCTTTAAATAATGGAGACACAAAAAAGAAAGCGATTGCTTATAAAATAAGATGGTTTTTTGCGTTTGTTTTTATTTGAGAGGCAAACAGGGATAGAGAGCATGCACCCATATGCTGGTTCACTCTTCCAAATGCCCACGATGGCCAGAGGCCAGAGCTGGGAGCCAGGGACTTAATCCAGGTCTCCCTCGCGAGGGGCAGGGACCCAACCTCTCAAGCCATCACCTGATGGCTCCCAGGGTGTGCGTTAGCAGGAAGCTGGAACTGGAAGCACATGCCCTAAATAAGATGAACATTCGTATGTAAGAGTAGAAGAAGTGGCCGGCGCCACGGCTCACTAGGCTAATCCTCCGCCTTGTGGTGCCGGCACACCGGGTTCTAGTCCCGGTCGGGGCACCAGATTCTGTCCCGGTTGCCCCTCTTCCAGGCCAGCTCTCTGCTGTGGCCAGGGAGTGCAGTGGAGGATGGCCCAAGTGCTTGGGCCCTGCACCCCATGGGAGACCAGGATAAGTACCTGGCTCCTGCCATCGGATCAGCGCGGTGCGCCGGCCGCAGCGTGCCAGCTGCAGTGGCCATTGGAGGGTGAACCAACGGCAAAGGAAGACCTTTCTCTCTGTCTCTCTCTCTCACTGTCCACTCTGCCTGTCAAAAAAAAAAAAAAAAAAAAGAGTAGAAGAAGCAAATAACCACTTCAGAGCCCCGAGGTCAGCTCCACACAGCTGAACATGGCGAGGTGAGACAGCCACAGTGCACAGTGGCAGAGACTTAACGTTACTGCTGATGTCACGGTTTTCCAAATGATGACAGCTCTTGGTAAGATTCAGAACTTAAAAAAGAAAAGTGCAGTCTTGCCTTGATTTACTGGTAGTTGCATTCCCAGAAATTACAGTAGATTTTAACATCATGCAGAAAAATACTTGGCTCAGTCCCGAGACCTTCTGCAACACCAGTGTCCAGCAGGACATTCGCAAGGGGACCTGAGACAGCGCCTCCCTCTGAGGGCTGACGCTCGGGCGTGGGCTGCGGTCACTCATGGCCCTGCCTGCTGAAAGTGCACATCTCTCTCCAGTCCTCGCAACAACCTAAACGGAACCCATAAATTTCCCCGGCACGCCCAGGGTCTGACCGGGGGACGGAGAGGACAGGCAGAGGTGCAGGATGCCGGTCTACAGGGGGCGTGGCAAGGACTGAGCAAGAGCCGTTTGTCTGTAAATGCTCCCGGAGGTGTGAAAGGAGGATAAGGAGGATGGATTTCGAGATATCCCCACCGGAATCCAGAATGACCACACTCGGGGGCAGGCATTGAGCCTGGCAGTTAAGATGCCGAGTGCCTGGCTCCGACGCCGGGCCCCAGCTCCTGACTTCAGCTCCCTGCTGGTGCAGACTCCAGGAGACAGCAGTGATGGTGTAAGGAATTGGGTTCCTAACCCCCTACCCCGCCATGGGAGGTCTGAATTGAGTTTCTGACTCCTTACTTCAGCCCTGACTATTGTGGGCATTTGGGGAATGAACCTCAAACAGGATTTTTAATTTTTTCCCATCTCTCCCCGTGCATTGCTGTCTCTCAAATAAATATTATATATTAAAAAAAAAAAAAAGTTGACCAGACATGCAGCTGCTGGGACAGACAGGCGGTTGAGGGATGAGAGCATTCTGCAGTGGAGAAGGGGACGCCACAGTTTCTAAGAGGCCCCTCTCCTCACCCCAGAGACATCCAACGCCTGCCTTCCCAGACGGAAGGCTTCACCCTGTCTCATTTCTCAGAGAAGACAGCCGAGTGTGTTTTCTGGGGCCGCCACAGCTTGGCTGGTAAACAACAGACATTTATTTTTCTCTCCATTCTGGAGGCCAGAAGTCCAAGGTGTCAGAAGGAGTGCTTTCCCTAGAGGCCTTTCTCCTTGGCGCACACCTGCTGTCTTCTCCCCGTGTCCCGATGCAGTCTTCCCTCTGCATGTGCGTCTCGTCCTAATCTCTATCTCCTAAGGTCACCACGCGTGGTGGACGAGAGCCCAGCCACGTGACCTTCAGTCGTCCAGCTGAAGCACTGGGGGTTGGGACTGCCACGCTGGAACTGGAATGGGACGCAGTCCAGCCCATAACAAAAACGCTGGGAGACCAGCGTCACACAGTGGGGAGCCCAAAAGATCGCGAATCCAAGAGGCTGGATTTGGGCTCCTTCACTGTCCGGGTGCCCTTGGGGCAAGTCCCTTCTGCACTTCTTGGGCCTCAAGATGAGAGTCACAAAGACTTTGTGGGCATTGTGGGTCAGGACTGAAGGGGCACCAGCACAAGCTGGGAGCTCGATCCTGGTAGACCCCACAGCTGGGTCAGCAGAGGAGGTACTGGGGGTTTCGGGGACTTGGGACCAAGTGGCTAAGGGGCTACTACAGTGACCTGGGGTGCTGGCTGTTCATCTGCCATCCACTGTGAAAACGCTTCACTTATTTTAATTTGTTCCTTCTTAAAATGTGCTTATTTATTTCAAAGGCAGAGTTACAGAGAGAGAGGGAGAGACAGAGAGATCTTCCATCTGCTGGTTCATGCCCCCAAATGGCTGCAATGGCCATGGCTGGAACTCCAATCCGGTCTCCCACATGGGTGGCAGGGACTTAAGTACTTGAGCCCTCCTCTGCTGCCTCCCAGGGTGCGCCTTAGCAGGGAGCTGGATCAGAAGCACAGCCAGGCTGTCCGAAATGGGCATCGCGAGGGGTGTCTCAGCCGCTCTGCCAAATGCCCACCCCACTGTCATATTTTTAACAACCGGTGGGACCCCGCTTGGTGGTGCACACCAGGAGGCGCGCTGGGCCTGGCTTTGGACACCAGACTGGAGGGGCGCAGCCTTGGATTACCGCCACAAAGACCCTCTCTCTTGCTCCCCACGCAGGCCAAGCTGATTGTCCCCAACAGCACCGCAGGCTTGATCATCGGCAAAGGGGGCGCGACCGTGAAAGCCGTGATGGAACAGTCGGGCGCGTGGGTGCAGCTGTCCCAGAAGCCGGAGGGCATCAACCTGCAGGAGCGCGTGGTGACGGTCAGCGGCGAGCCGGAGCAGGTGCACAAGGCGGTGAGCGCCATCGTGCAGAAGGTACAGGAAGACCCCCAAAGCAGCAGCTGCCTCAACATCAGCTACGCCAACGTGGCCGGCCCCGTGGCCAACTCCAACCCCACCGGCTCCCCGTACGCCAGCCCCGCCGACGTGCTGCCGGCCGCAGCCGCCGCGTCGGCTGCCGCCGCCTCTGGCCTGCTGGGCCCCGCCGGCTTGGCGGGCGTGGGAGCCTTTCCCGCCGCCCTGCCTGCCTTCTCAGGCACCGACCTGCTGGCCATCAGCACGGCGCTCAACACGCTGGCCAGCTACGGCTACAACACCAACTCCCTGGGGCTGGGCCTCAACTCGGCCGCGGCCTCTGGCGTCTTGGCCGCGGTGGCTGCTGGTGCCAACCCCGCCGCCGCCGCTGCCGCCAACCTCCTGGCATCCTACGCGGGCGAGGCAGGGGCCGGGCCCGCCGGAGGGGCTGCCCCGCCTCCACCCCCGCCCCCCGGAGCCCTGGGGTCCTTCGCCCTGGCCGCCGCCGCCAACGGCTACCTCGGAGCAGGGGCCGGCGGCGGGGCGGGCGGCGGGGGCGGCCCGCTGGTGGCCGCCGCGGCCGCGGCAGGAGCAGCCGGAGGCTTCCTGACGGCGGAGAAGCTGGCGGCCGAGAGCGCCAAGGAGCTGGTGGAGATTGCGGTGCCTGAGAACCTGGTGGGAGCCATCCTGGGCAAGGGGGGCAAGACGTTGGTGGAATACCAGGAGCTGACAGGCGCCCGCATCCAGATCTCCAAGAAGGGCGAGTTCCTGCCAGGCACGCGGAACCGGCGGGTCACCATCACGGGCAGCCCCGCGGCCACGCAAGCCGCTCAATACCTCATCAGCCAGCGGGTCAGCTACGAGCAGGGGGTGAGGGCCTCAAACCCCCAGAAGGTGGGGTGAGGCCCGCGGCGCGTGCTCCCACCCTCCCTCCTCCTCCTCCTCCTCCCTCTCCCCCTCCCCCCAGCTCCTGACCTCGGCTTCGTGTCTCCTGCTCCTCCGGGGACGGGGTAGGCTGACCGCACTCTTCCTTTCTGGTAGTCATAGGCAGGATTGAGCGCTGGCTGGGGGCGGGGCTCAGGAGCCCCCTCCCCAGCCCTGAACTGACCCCTCCTCCCTCCCTCCCCGTGCTTAGCTGGGCCTGACCCTCCTCTCCCAGGGCCCAGGTCTGTGTGATATCTGTATATATTGCATTTTGTTGATTTTAATAGAAAACAAAGCGTTATTTTCTCTTTCTTTCCCTCCATTTTTTTTCTTTCTTTCTTTCTGTTTTTTTTTTTCTTTCTTTCTTTCTTTCTATTTTTTTTTTTTGGTAAGGATTCCTACCCCCCCCCCCATCCCCACCTCGTACGTTTTTGTTTCCATTCGGGAGGAGGGGAGGGAGCCTCTGGATGTCCTGGAGTGAGGGGCTCCCCAAAACACAGCGCCCCCCCCACTCTGCTTTCAGACCAGATCGCAGGGCAGCCGTGGGAGCGGAGGGAGAGAGGGGTCGGAGCGGACACGGGGCATTTGGGGCAGGGGCCCCAGACCTCCCAGGTTCTCTTAGCTACTCTGCCGCCACCGGAGCCGCCCCTCCCCCCTCCTCGGTGGGAGTTTTCGCTCCTGGGGGAGGGACAGGGACGGTGCTGCTGGGAGCGAGGCCAGCGCTGGGCCTGGGCCAGTCCTGTGAGGCAGAGGCTTGCCGGAGGGCTGTGGCATCCTCCCGTGAGTTTTCCAAGAGAAACAGGAGTGAGGGCGCCTGTAGTGGTGCCCGGGGGTCCAGTACCTTCTGATGTGCTTCCGGGCAGTCCTCGTGACGTCAGAAGTTCCCCAGAGGTCACTTCCGGTGACAATGAGAGACAGGTGCCTCTGCGATTCTGCCCCAGTGGGCTCTGCCTTGGAGGCTACTTCGTTGACAGCCCGGGGGGCTCATGCTTCCGTGGAGCCCCCAGGCCACGTTCTGTGACGTCACTGGGGATGCACGGGATGGGAGCCAGTGCCGCGCCCCTCTTCTCCACCCACACCCCCTTTGCTGGGTGTTGGCCTGGGGGTGGACTAAGGAAAAGAATAAGGGGCAGGACTGGAATCTAATCTGGAGGACTCTAAGGAAAAAAAAAAACAGTACGGTCCAGGTCACCTCCACCTCCACGCAGCCACACCGAGTCCGCGGACCCGTCCGGGCTGGGGAGGCAGGGCGGGGGGGCGGGGGGGGGGGTGGAGCCGCGCTGCCTTCCGTGTGCATGCCTGTGTCTGTGTGGCTTTGTGTCGCTGACTCTGGTGAGCCAGACTGCCGTGACTGTGTCAGAGGTCGGCGAGCCAGGGTTAGGGCCCCTGGGCTGCTCGGCTTCCGGCGGCCCGAGGGATGGGGCGGCGTTGATTTGGTGGTGTTGACGGAGCAGGACGTTCTGGTGGGCTCCCCTTGGGCACTGCCAAGTCGGTTTGGAAGTGGCTCACCGAGCACCGTGGCCGTCCATGGTCAGCGCTAAGGGCCCTGTCAGTGGACCGAGAGCACCGCAGGGCCTGACAACCCCCATAGACGAGGATAGCTGAGACCTCCCCCCCCAGCCCTCCCCCTCCCCCTCGGAGACCACCCCCACTTTCTCCAGCCCAAAGCAGGGCCCGCGGCGCCCTGGTTCCGTCATCAGCATCTCTGGGGGGAGGGCACCCCGTGCCCACCCCTCTCTCCCACTTGCCCCCACCCCCATCCTAGGTCTTCCAGACCCTTTTTTCTCCTCCATGGCTCCTGGGGGCCCCACCCCTTTGTCCCTCTCTTACAAAAGGAGGGACAAAAAGCCTTGAGAGGATTCTCACCCCTAAAGCCTGGGAGACCCCCTGCGCCTCGCTAGAGAGCCACCCCCCAAATCAAAATGTGAACGCCCCCTAGAAAGCAATAGCCCTCGAGGTGCCCGCGCGCTGGATTTTCGCCCCAGCCCTCCCACCCCGACGGGAGGCTGCAGCTTGGGCTCCGGGGTGACTTTGTCCACACCCTCGTCATCTCTGGGGTGGAGGGGGCCAGGCCCCACTTCACCCTCCCCCCCACCTCCACTCCCATCGCTGCTGCCCCCACCCTGCATCTCCAGATGAACCCAGATGGAGATCCGAGTGCCAAAACAGATGTAACTTTGTACATATCTTCTAGAGCTGGGGGCTCTTGGGCTTGGAGGTGGGGGGGGGCTCGGTGGGCCACTGCCCCCCTCCGCCTTTCCAAAGACCTGCCAGTGTTTCCCAGTATCTCCCCATGCACGTAGAGTATTACAGCGCCCGGCTGGAGCAGCCTCTCCGACCTCCCAGGCCCGCCGGGAGGCGGGGCAGGAGCCAGGGAGAGGCGGAGCGAGGTCTGGGGGAGGGGAGATGGGCTAGAAAGGGTCATTTGCATATCATTTGCATCCCCCCTTGGGGTCTGGGTCCCAATCAGCCGGGGCCAGTCCTCCCCTCCCACAGACACGGCTCTGGAGGCTGGGCCTCCTGAGAAGTGTCCCCTTGGGGTGTCTGTGTGACAGCCCCCTCCCCCTCCTCATTTCTCGGGGAACCCCCACCCCTGCCGGGGCTATAGGAATGGAGGGTGAGCTGGTTCACTCACACCTCATCGGTGAGTGGGGAACCACACCCCCCACCCCCACCCTTCCCCATCCCTCGCTGGTCCCTTTTGCAATCTGACCTCAATCTTTTGTGCTGCAGTTTGTCCAGAGGGGACACAGATATGGGGCCAGGGGTGGGGATTATTACAAACCCCATCACCTCGGATTTTTTTTTCCCCTCTCCCTGTTGGCCAATCAGATCTCAGAGACTCTGAGTGGCTGCCTTGCACCCTGCTGTTGGCACCTGGTAGGTGCTTAATAAGTGTGTGCTGCATTGGTTTCTGTCCCTCACCCTGGCCATCTGCCCCCAAGCCTCCAGTAGCTTCTCCCCACAGCACCTCCCTCTCTTCCTCTCCGGCTGTGGCTCCTGTTGTCACCAGTCCTGTCTGGATCTCTGCCTGTCTCTTCCTCCTTTCAACTCTCTCTCTCTCTCTCTGTCTCTCCTTTCCCCCACTTAAAAAAAAAGAAAAAGTGCCAAACTTCCCTGGAACTGAGCCGCTCTCGGGGGAGAGGACCTTGGGTGGAGGGGAGGGGAGGGCCGGGCCGGCCGCCTGGGAGGCCGCCCGAGGAGGCGTGGAGAAAGTCTGTGGATTCTGAGCCGAGTTGGGTCCCCCTTCCTCATCCCTCCCCGCCCTGAGTTTTTCTTAGAATCTTTGTAAGAAAAAAAGAAAAAAAAACAAGAAAAAAAAACCTTCTCTCCGTTTCAGCTAGCCCTACCCCTCCCCTTTTGGGTCCCCCCACCCTCAAATTCCACCAGCCGGGGAGAACCCTGTTTGCCTGCCTCTGGGCAAATCTGTAAAACTGGGGAGGGGGAGACAAGTCCCACCCCTCCCCGGCTGGCCCACGGGGCAGTACCATCTGAACGTGGGAGGAGGACCCCAAAGCACGAGAAGAAGGGGTTCACTGTGCCAAATTCACCCCCTCCGTCCCCTGTCACAGGGCTCTGAGCCAGCCTGCCCAGCCACCACCTTCTGCCCTGTCCCAGCCATTCCACATGGGCAAGGAGGCTTTGCTGCAATAATTCCTAGGGCAGGGATCAGAAGGCAATGGTTTGCCATCTTTAGCCACCCTAACCTTTGCCCTGGACTTGTAGGCAGGAAGTATGGATGTCCCAAAGGGAGCTTGCCAAGAGTCGACTTAGAAACAGTTGGGGACCTGCACTGGAACAATCCAGAACCAGTGTTTGCGTGCTGTTCCTTCTCCCCTGTCGACCCCCGAATCCCTGAACAGCACCTGTGTGTTTCTCTGCCTACTCCGCCACCCCACCCCTCCCTCCCCGCTTTGTTTCCGATCGGGTCTCCAACCGTCTGGAGATGGAGAGGTGTTCCCCAGTGCCCGCTGTGCTAGACTGAGCCTTAGCAAAAGTGCCGCGTCCAGGCTGCTGGCTGCGTGCACGCCTGTCGCCACAGCCAGGCTGGCCTTTGGCTGTGCGACGATGCCACGTGCCCGGCTTAGTCTGGAACCGCCGCGGCCCTTGCGCCAGGCTGAGCTGGAGGCCGCCACGGAGAGAACCGGATCGCCATACCCAAGTACGGGTGCGGCCGGTGCGGCGGGCCAGGGACGTCGGTCTGCTCTTGCTACACCCGGCCCCGCGGTCTCCACCGCACTGGGCGGGCGGCCGTGTCAGTGTGTGGTCTGCCTCGTGGTGGGGGTGGGGGGCAGGGTCGTTGGGATGGAGCCGGGGCATCTCCGTCGGAGATGGTGCTGCTCAAGGCTGCTGGTTTCTGACCCCCTTCTCAGCTAGTCCTGGACACTCTTGTCTCCCAGAGATAATTGGGGGGACCGCTTAACCCCCCTCCCCCACCCCCTTTCCCTCCCCCCACCTCACCCCTTAAAACCACCAACCTCTCATCTTCTAAGTGACTCCATCACCACCGGCCACCACCGGAACCTGCGGCCTCATTGCTCCAGCCCGCCCCACTCGACCGTCAGACTCGCTCATCGAACTCTTTTTGATTAACCCTTTCTGTGTTCATCCCACGGAAAACTGTGTGTCCGGCGTGGGGGAGGGGGGAGGCTAGGGGCAGTTGCTACCTTTCCTCCATCTCCCACCGCCCATGCCTCCCCACCCGCACCCCATGCCATGCCCCACCCCCATCCCTCACCCCTGGGGTGCCACCTACCCCGGGGTGGGAGGGAATAGAGATCCTCTATAAATAGCTATGCTGTTTGGCTGTCCCTTTAAAAGGTGGGCCCAGGGGCGTGGCCTCCCGCACGTGGAGCGCCCACTCTGGCCCCACCCTTGCCCCGTGCCCCACACGCTCCCCACGCCTTCATTGTAAATAGTCACTTTTGTACTGGGTTTGAGCCAGGGGTCGTGGGGAGTCATTTTTTTTTTCCTTTGTGTTGGCATCTCAGGCCGCTGGAGGCATGGCCCACTTCCCAGTCCCTCAGCCGGCCCCAGGGCGGGAGAGGCGTGGCAGGCCGTTCTCCCCAAATGGGTCCATCCTCCCGGTCCCGAGGGCGGAGGCGGAGGGGTTAAAACCCCTCTTCCCACTGGGTCAGAGACCGGGCAGGAGGGGAGCCGGGGGCGGGCGGCAGCACCGACTGCTCCGCCCTTCGTGGGACCCGAAGCCTCCCCCTTGGCTCACGCGGTCGTTTGGAACCTGCACCCCCCTCCCCGCGCCCCGCTAGGACCTCTGCGACCCCCCCTCCCAGGTTCGCCCCCTGCCTGCCGCCCGCCCTCCTGCATCCCGTCCCTGGGAATGCGGCCATGCCTCCAGTGCCTCCATTCAACCCCTCTAACTGAACCCTCCATCCTCTGCGCCCAGCGACGCCGCCCACCCCCACCCCTGCCCCCACCCCCACCCCCCACCACCTCCGGAAGCTCCTGGCTGGGGCGCACCGCCCTCTCCTCCCTCTCCCCCCACCCCCGCCATCACCATGCCCGGGCCACGCCCACCCCCCACCACCACCCCAGTGTCCGTCGTGTGACCTAGTGCACCATGTATTAGCTTCCATGGCCCCCACCCCGGCCCCACCACACCCCCCCCTCGGCGACTTCACCTTTTTTTGCCGCGATAAACGCCATCTCAGCATCTGTGTCTAATGTTGTCTTTTTTGCTTGACATCACACACTCCTCCTTAACCCATCCCCTGCCCGCTCCCTCCTCCCTGCCCCTCCACCCTCATCCTGAATTCTTTCCCCCCTCCCCCACCCCAGGGTAATGGGCACGTAGGGGAGGAGGGGGGACCCCTGAGGAGGGTCCCGGACGGGGGCGTAGGGGCGGGGCAGGGAGGGTCCCAAGGTGGCTGAGGAAGCAGGGGCCCGCCCGATGCTACCTTCCAGGGCCTCACAGGCCACCAGCACACCACACGCATACACACGGAGCAGCAAAGGCCCCCACGCACGCATCTGGACGCCGTGCCCACACACACTGCAAGGCACACAGGGTTAACGTGTCTGAGACAGGTAAGATCCAGTCGGCACCCCAGTGCTGCCGCCACCCTGAAACTGCCTCTTCGAGCCTCCACCTCTCCATTTGCAAAATGGGGACCTTTTTAAAAAAAATGTATTTCTACACCACATTGTTGATGCTTGGATTCAATACACCACTTCTTTTATATATATAAAAAAAAAAGATTCTTGAGGCACCTGCTACGCGTAAGGCACAGTTCTGGGTGCTGGGGATAAAACAGGACAAAGCAGCCCCAAATTACCTCTGTCAGCTCAGCTCGGAGCACACATCCTGTGGCACCTTGGCAACGGGACACCCAGGGGCAGGCCCGGGACGCACATGGCCCGGTTTGCCCCAAGCAGCATTCTGTGCTGTTCTCCCTGAACAGGTGGGTTTCCAGACCCCTCTTGAGAAATCCTTTGTGTTTCTTTGGTGAGCTGGTGGGGAGGGGACACATCCTGCCCGACCTGCCCTGCCTGTTTGGGTCACACACCCAGAACAGCCACTAGTAGTCATCAGTTCAGAGTGGGCAGCGGGCAGGTGGAGATGGGGAGAGCGAGCTGAGATGGAGACATGAGAGACTGATGGTGGAGGCTGTGTGTGTGGCGGGGCCAGAAGCTCCGATTCTGAGACACCCAGGGCACTTCACATCCCCCCTCTGAATCTCACACTGCACCCCTGGAAAACACCCTTCAAAGCTGTACTTACCTTCTGGAATATTCCAGGAGTCCACGTGCGAATCTCCCCATCAGTCCCTGACGGAGGAAATGTCTGTGCTCGGGGAGGTCACCACAGACCCCCACACACTGAAAAACAACCACCACAGATGTCTAAGGACAGAAACTAATGGGGGGCAGCAGGGAAAGGGGTAAAGGGAGACAGGCCCAGATGCCTCCGAGGTGGGCATCCCCAACAGCCTGTAGACAGTCCATTTCTTCCCCCGTTTCTCCAGTCGATGGGCATTTATTGAGCACCTACTATGTTCTGAGGGCTGGGAACATGGTGATGACCACGACACATCCCCGTGCTCATGTTCACAGCCCTGGAGCCGTACACTCCAGCTCTCAGGACACGGCAGGTGCTCCTAAGTCTACAGGCTCCTCTGGTCCTGGCCTGTGACCCTCGAGTTTCCCACTGTGTCCAGAAACACCTCCCAGTTTCAGGAAGAGTGGAGGAATTTTCCACCAGGAAGCCGAGAGCTTGGAAGGGACTTGGGAGGAGAGGGCGGGGTTCATTTCTGTCCTGCAGTGCGATTTTGGGAAATTCTTGTGACCTCTCTGACCCAGGATGGAAAGGAAAGGACGAAGGTGAGTAACTGGAGGATCCCTTAGCTGCCTCAAAGCCACGCCCCTTCTCCCCTGGGGGGTGGGGCCTGGTGTGGGAGAAAGGCAGGGGTAGGGGAGCTGGATGAGAAGAGATAGAGAAAAAAGACAGACGTGCCCTGGAGGACAGAGATGACCCCAGAGCCCAGGCTGGGGTTGTGGGAGGGGGCAAGGAGGTACCCTCACAGGGGTCCTGCGGGCTCAGAAGTGTCATTAAGAACAGGAGCACAGAGGAGGGGCACATGGGCTGGGAGGGAGCGAGAGACTAGCATGAACAGGAAACAGCACATGGGCTGGGAGGGAGCGAGAGACTAGCATGAACAGGAAACAGCCAAGGCAGCAACAGGAACATGATGGAGGGAAAACTTGCCACTTCTAGAGACGGTGTGTCCTGGGGAATTTGAATTTTAGGTTAAAAAAGTGCTTTGGGGAAAAAAATTATGTTTGCCCCCATGCAACACTCACATGAGAAGAGCAGTGGCTGATGTAAAATCCCAGTGAAACCGGGCCTCCTTTGCTTGAGTTGGCAGCCCTAGGTGGGGGAAGAGCAAAGAGAAATAGGGGGGGGGGGGGGGACAACGAATCCAGAACTGGTCAGAAGAGCCGGGGCATCGGGGTCTGCCATCTGGAATCCTAACACTGCCCCAGTCTCCCCTTTCCTATGCCTAGGTCCCCCCTCTATTCTCTCTCCCTCTGTGCCCCTCCCAGGTCTCCTCCTGTCCACACCCCTAGCTTCTCTGTCCCTCTCTCTGCCTCCCACTGTCCCTGAGTCTCTGCGACCCCACCCTCCTCATTTCTCTCCATCCCATCCCCCCGGGAAATCTGCCTCAGACATCAACAGGGGTGGCATCACCGGCCGCCCCCTCCCCAAGTCATCAAGAGAGGGGCCGTGAGGGACAACGGGAAGTACAGCAGGGGCAGGGGGCACTGTCCCCTTGTCAGTCAGGGCTGATGACGCTTGCGGACAAGGCACTAGGCAGCGATGTCCACCAGTGTTGACTGGCACGTGACAGACGTCTCCGTAAGCCCTCTCCACCTCCCACCCCTTCACCACCACCCCCCCGGCCATTCTGCCTCCAAGGCCTTTGACTTCCGGAGAAAGGGGGGGTCTCTACCCCACCTCCGCTCCAACATTCCAGCGAGGTCTCGGTGCCACTCCTCCCGGCCTCTGCCTCATTTTACCTTCTGTATTTCTCTGGCTGGCTTTCTCACCAGGCCTGCCTCCTCCCATTGCTCCTCCCCCATAAATCTGCATCCCCGGTTAACTCTGCGGGGTCTTGTCTTGCGGAGAAGAGGGGTCTCCGCATGCCTCTCCTACTCACTTTCCCGGTCTCTGCCTGTGTCTGCATTGCTTTCCCTCCCGGTCCGCCTCCAGAGAGTCCCCAAACCACCCCAGAAAGGGCCGCCCAGGAACCACTGCTCCCCATGCGCAAGGAGGGAGCCAGCCCGGGCTCCACAGCCACACAGCCCAGCCGCGATCCGCAGTAGTGGAGCGGCTGCCAGGGCTGCCTCTGTCCCCGCTCACCCAGGGTAGCGATTCAAGCTTCCCGCGGAGGCATCTGATTGGTGGAACCTAAGCTTGCGTCAGGAAACGCCTCCCGCGTGTGCGCGAGCCACATGGCATTCTGGGAAATGTAGTTTTTAGTCCCGGGCCTCTGGCGTCCCGAGAGAGGGTTCCCCTACTCTGTCCCTGTCCGTCCCCGTTTCTCACTCTCTGTCTGTTTGTCTGTCTCTGGGTTTTTTGGTGGCTTTCTGCCTCTTTTTCACTGTGCAGTTTGACTTCAGTCTTTCCTTCTACTTCCTCTTTCTGGGCCACCAGTGGTATGGCCAGTGCCAGTCCCCACAGCCCCCTGCCTCACCTCCATCCCCATCCCTCTTGACCCTCAACCCATTCTCAGCAGACCCGAAGACTCGGGATCCTAAGTGACAAGATGGGAGGTTGCGGGGAAGACATGGGTGGCCCTGGTTCTGGAGCTGGAGTGGTCACAGGCGGGCACTATGGCTTGGGTGCCAGGTGGAGCAGGACTGCCTGCCCTCTAGGTAGAAGCGACCACTCAGCCTCTCTCCTGGAAGCTGCGGCCCCCTCGTCTTCCCTCCTCTCCTCACCGTTCTTTCCTTTCTGATCTTAGAACATGGGGATATGCACCAGCCCCCCACTCCGGAGGTACACGGTGGTCCAAACAACATTCACTCAGTGCCTCCATATGTGCCCGGCACTGTCCTAGACATTGAGCCGGGCCCCAGGGAACAAGAGAGCACAGATTCGCCTCTCCTGGGGAGCCCAGACTCCAGTGGGGGCAGTAAACAAGGAACAAAGTAAATAAGTGAATTGCACGGCCACTAGATAACAGCAGAAGCCAGGAAGGAAAACAAGGCTGAGAGAGGAGACAGGGGTGCTGTGAGCATTGCAGCTGTCGGTCCTGCCTGTGCACCCGGGCCTCTGCAGACCCAGCCTTCCAGGGAGAGGAAGCATCAAGTGCAAAGGGCCAGGGCGGATGTGCCTGGACTCTGTGTGGGCTGAGGAGGAGGCAAGGGTGGCTGGAGCAGAGTGAACAAGGGGGCGGTAGAAGTCAGGTCCCAGAGGGAACACAAGGGGCCCACGTAGCACCTTGAGGTTTCCCCGTGGGATGGGAGCCGGGAGAGGGTCCAGGGCAGAGGGACGTGAGCTGACTCCAGCCTTCACACGATCCCTCCGGCCACTGTGTGGTGGACGCTCCACGGGGGACAGGACTTCGGGGCCCGGTGAGAAGGGGACTGAAGATTCCCAGCAGCAGGTGGGCCCCAGGGGGTGGGTGGGGGTGAAGAGGAAGAGGCCAGGAGCTAAGGAGCTTGGAGGTGGCACTGGCAGCCTTTGCTGGCCACCCGCAGGTGAGGAGTCCAAAATGACCCCAAGTCACACGGGCTGCCTAGGGCGGACTGTGCTCCCAGTGAGGATTAGGGAGCAAGGACCGGGCTAAGGGGGCCGCCGTCGTGGCACAGCGGGTTAAGCTGAAGTTTGTGACGCCGGCATCCCATATGGGAATGCACCCTGAGTCCCGGCAGCTCCGCTTCTGATCCAGCTCCCTGCTAATGCTCCTGGGAAGGCAGTGGATGAGGACCTGAGTGCGAGAGTGCCTGTCACTCACCTGGGAGACCCGGATGGAGTCCCTGGCTCCTGGCTTCAGCCTGGCCCAGCCCTGGCTGTTGTGGGCATTTGGCGAGTGAACCAGCAGGTGGGAGAGATCTCTCTCCTTCCCTCCCTCCCTCCCTATCAAATAAGTAAAGCTTTCAAAAAAGAATCAGGCTAAGATTAAAATTAAAACTCAACAGTAATGAGTAATAGTTTGGTAATTAGTATGGGTAATTAGTAATTAGGATTGGTTTGAGATTTAAAATAGAGCTGATTTAGGCAAAGATGACAACCAGGCTTGGTGTTTGTGTTGTGCCCTGGTTAACGGTAAGGTTTAGTATGGGATCAGGGCCAAGATCAGGTAGAGAGTTACAGATCAAATTATGGCTGGAATCAAAGTGAAGGCAGAACCATGGCTAAGGCCAGTGCCAAGTTCAGCCTGGAACTGACTGGACTGTAGCTGGTCAGGGCCAGGCTGAAGGACTGGGCCTGGGGCCCGACTGGAATGACCGTCAGAGACAGAATCAGGCCAACAGCAATCATGGCGGAGAACAAGCCGTCAGTTTAGGGCTGGGGACAGAGCTGCGGTTAAGAACAACATTGGAGTTAGACTATGACAGAGATAGGGTGGGGGAACACTGCTCAGGGCCCAACAAGAGTGAAGAGAAGGACGGGGAAGTGAAGTGAAGGGTGGGGGGCTGGCGTTGTGGTGCACTGGGAGAAGCTGCCGCTCGGGAGGCCGGCATCCCACATCGGAGTGTGCGCTCTGCGCCTGGGAAGGCAGCAGAGGACGGCCCGAGTGCTTGGGCCCCTGTGCCCATGTGGGAGACTCGGACGGAGTTCCTGGCTCCTGGCTTCACCCTGGTCCAGCCCTAGCTGTTGCAGCCATTTGGGGAGTGAATCAGCAAATGGAAGATCTCTCTCTCAAATAAATAAATCTTTTAAAAATAAAAAGACTAGGGTTGGGGTCGAGCCCTCTTTGGGCGGGGCATGGGTTAAGGTCGCAGAGGCAGCAGAGGCTGGAGACGATGTGCTGCTGAAGGTTCCAGAACCTCAGTGTCAGGGTCCCGTCAGGATCAGGCAAGGTCACATCAGCTGCAGAAATAAACCCTGAGCAGGAAGTTCCCGCGGGAGCCACAGCAGGGGACAACTGCAGCCGGCTTTCCCCTGCGCACACCCCTCACCTGGCCCTTCCAGGACGCGCTCTGGGAAGGGCGAGAGGGGCTGGGATGGATGGGGAGTGGTCAGGCTGACTGCCGTCACCCTGGGGCCCAGATCCAGAGAGATGGCAGAGAAAGGGCAGAGACCGCGGGAACGGGGGAGGGGCTCAGGGAGGGACAGAGACCTGGAGAAGGGAGACAGAGAGCGAGAGAGAGGGGTGAGGGGGAGAGAGAGAGAGAGAGAGAGAGCGAGCCAGCAGGGGGACAGAGACTAAAAGAGGGGGGCGCAGACCAGACCAGACCAGCCGGAAAAGCACAGAAAACCAGAGAGAGGTGCAGACACCCAGAGGGCCTGGGAGCAGAGACCCAGGGAGAGAAAAAGAAACCGCAAAACAGAAATCCAGGGAGTGATGGAGCCCCTGAGCCCCGCCCCCCCCAGGAGCCCATCTCCCGCCTGCTTCCCCCCGGGGGGAGGGGGGGGCCTGAATGCCTCCC